CCAGTTGAGCCACTTGATTAAGCCACAAGGCCTTAAAACTCTCATCTTTAAAAGGAGGCAATTTAGGCAATTAGATGCTTTCTAATGTTGACTATTCCCTGAATCTGACTCGAGATGTTATCACTAAGTTTTAACTCTCTGGAAAGAAAAACTGGTATTTTAAGTAGAATGAGAGTAAAGGAATACCATACACACACACATACACACACACACACACACACACACACACACACACACACACCACATGTATGATCCTTATTATTCTCCTGTTCCTTGATAACTTTTTTCTCAGCTGATGTAATTGTTGGCTTTTTTCTAAAGTTTCCCCCTGAAAGGTCCAGATGCTATGATTTCATCAACCACAAACAAATGGGGCAGGGCTGGTGAGGTCCTGAGAAAATGAAGAGTTCCTGGAAAACAAAGTTTATATCCTAACTCGCTGTCCCAAAAGGACGAGACGGCCTCCTACCCACTAGCACTGTGAAACCAGACAATCCGTGGTTTTAGCGTTTCCAGTCGGCTTAGGACTATATTTAAATTATTATCTTTTACTTATTTTGCCCTTGAGTTTCTTTTGAGACATCGATCAGCCATCATTGTTCAGTCTCTGGGCCCCAAGAGAAAATGTTTGGCTTCTGACATGGTGACTATTACCAAGCGACACTATGTTCAAACATTCAACTATTTCCTGGCCAAAGACCAATCTAAAGATTATAAAGTAAATCAGCCATTCTTTTCTGGGTTGGGCAGTAATTCAAAAGAACAACTTCTCTCACAGTTTAAGAGGTAAATATCCTTTCATAAAAAAATTATCAATCTGTAAAAATTTCCCAGTGGCTGAACAAATGGGCCTGTGAGTGGCAGGGCACTTAGTGCTTCCACTCATTTATCCAGAATGAGATAACTTCGGAGTATAAGAACCACCTGAAGAGGAAAAAATAAAAGCAAAGAAGCATGTTGTTACAGAAAACCAGGAACTAAGAGAGCCGCACTACTTACTTCTTAAAGTATTAACGTAGTAAGAAAAGCATTCTGCTAAGCGATATTGTACAAAGCAGTATTTTAGCATGAACTTTTGTTTTGGCGACTACTCAGAAATATCTAATGGCAAGATGGTCAAACGAGAGCCATCAGGACGGTGGGTTTGGTGGTGCTCAAGGGCTAAGAGCACTAGTTCTTTACCAACCTGTACATAGATATTTTAGTATGACAATTAGCGTGACCCCTGAGTGGTAGGCTGAGTCTCAAAAGTGAGAAACTCTCAGATATGAGTGTGATCAAAGATCAGAATCTGGACCTGGGTGGAAATAAAACCCCAATATCATACAATCCCTACTCTTCAATTGTTATTTCTTTTTTAAACTTCATTATCTATCATCATTGTGTGTGTGTGCCTGCCTCTCTCTCTCTCTCTCTCTGTGTGTGTGTGTGTGTGGTGTGTGCATATGCACATGTGTGCATCCATAGCATGAGTACAGAAGACAACTAGGATTGGCTTTCATGTGGGTTCTAAGGACCTAATTTAGGTCATCATGATACTGGAATTTGGGGGACTCCTTCATGGTTGCCTGATGATACAGAGGAAATCCAGGTCCCTTTGTGGAGTTCTTAGTCTCAGAAAAATAATTTAAGAATGGGTTCAAATGAAAACTCAAGGACAATTTTATTAGTTAAAAAAAATAATCAGAGCAGGCAAGCTGAAAATCTCAGCAGTTGCTTGAGGAGAGCAACGAAGGACAGAAGGAAGAAGCCACACCCTTTGCTCTTTATGCAAGTGTGGAAATCAGACACATGGTGGGAAAGCAGTCAATTGGTAGGGAGGGATCCTTTCAAGAAAGAGTAAGAGAGCCCCAAAATGAAAGTCAAAGTGTTAGGGAGAGCATACTTTCCAAAGAAATAGAAAGATTCTGGGTGATTCTGGGAAGGAAAGACACAGTATCTTACTAAAGGGAAAATTATTGCACCTATCTTTTTAGCATGGCTTAGGTGAGCCTACATTCCAAGAGGTAGTCCCTTGGCCTAATAGAGCTGGGTCATTAGGTTTCTACCCAGGCTAGAAAGCTTGTTCTCTTGATAAAAACATGGTTTCTCCTAAGGAGTCTTTTTTTTTTGTTACTCAGACATACAGGCTCAAACTGTAGGCACATTTATCCCCTAGGCCATCTTGCAGGGCCATGTTAATTCCTTTGTAGCAAATAATAGATATTTATTGTCTCTTGGTTCTTGAGGTCAGAAGTCTGGAATCACAGAATTGGCAAGGTTGGTTTCTTCTGAGAGCTGGGGACAAACAATGTGTCCTGGGCTTCTCCTGGCTGCAAATGACTAATTTCAGTCAACTGAAGGCACCATCTCCTTATATTTGTGTCTCTGTTCAAATTTTTCTGTTTTACATGGACATTAATACATTTAGATCAGAAGTAAACCTAATGACTTTAAGTTAATCACATCTTTTATGACACTCTTTCCAAATAAGGTCACATTCTAAGTAAGGAACGGGGGGGGGGGGGTGAGGTTTAGAACTGGGCATTGAATTAGGGGAAGGACAGAGTTCAAATATAATCTCACCATTTATTCACATTGCAACCTGCGCCTTTTCTCTACCAGAGATATGTACAATACACTGCAAGCACAACAGAGTCCCACAAATGTCCTTTATTTTGACATGCTACCATCATCTACAGTGGGTTGTTGACATCATAATACTTATGATACTTAGATTTATAGAGTTATGACCTTTAATAAACAAACACAAGTTTTCTAATGGACTTGGATTGAAAAGCAGACGAGAATGTGAGAAATGGAGCACCATTTTGTGAATTTCCTGTTAATTCATGTATCTACCTTTAAGATAATGTTTTTTGATATACTTATCTTAGAAAGTTGGCTCATGTTTTTTTGAAACAGTATAGTTTAGGGGAACCCATAATTCTGTGGTATTGGTAGACAGATTCTGATTAGGAAAGGGCAAACAGGTGATCTCAGCCTTGCAGAGATTTGATTCAACTGAGGAGGGAAAACACAGTCTGTGGGAAAGCCACCACAGTGAGCTGTTGAACTCAGAAGTACAGGATTGTGTCCCAGAGAATAAAATTCAGAACTGAACCCTCAAAACAAAGCTAATTGAGCCTACTATTTGACTCAATCAGGAGGGTCATAATTCTAAAATATTGTTGAGAATTCCCAATGTCCATTTGAAACCTTCTCATGATAATGCAGACGCAGATAATGTACCTTCAAAGAAGTCACTGCTAAGTTTCAGTAACATATGCTTAAATAAATGGCTCAGGTGGGAGTCTGGCTGCTCTCATGGTTGTAATTAGTAGTAATGGCAATTGCTATCTCTGACTTAAAATCCATGTCTCAGTTCTCAGAAAATATGAGTATTTTCATATTAGACATACTTGTCCAGATGCTTTTCTATCTTCTCCTTTACTCCTTTCGTCCCACTCTTTTCTTCTCCTTATACAATAAATAGCTATATATGTGTGTTTTGTGTGTGCATGTGTGTGTTTGTATGTGTATATGTATATGTGTGTATGTGTGTGTATATGTATGTATACATATATATGTGTGTGTGTATGTATGTATGTATACATATGTGTATGTATATGTATATATTTAAAGACAAAGCTTCCCAGACTATTTTAATAAAAACACGACCACAATATGGTTCAACATCTTCGTGTATCAATTTTCAATGCCACAACGAGAAGAGTAATAGTATTATGGCAAAGATTCATGTTTAGCATCAAAAAGTTAGGCATGGCCAAGCATGGCAGATGCCCACCTCTAACCCAACATTAGGGAGATAAAAGCAGGGTTGATATGTTTGAGGTCAGCTTGGGATTATAGTAAGAATCTATCTCAAAGGACTCAAACCAAACCAAATCAGACTGAAGTGAGGAAGGGGGAGATGAGAGATGAAAAGAAATTGTGACCTAAAAAGCTTAATATCTGACACCAGTTCTTCATTTTTGCTTGCTTGCTTGATTGCTTGCTTCTAATTGCTAGAAGTCCTTGATAACTCTTGCTATATTCATTCATGGACATTTTGTATTTTAAAAACAGTGTTATGAACCAGTAATGCCTCTGTAAGTATTTCATCCACAGGCGCATATAGAAGGAAGAGAATGTCACTTTACTGTCACTTGGTCATGATTTCTTGTAAGTTTGGAAACGTCCAAGAGTTAAATGGTTACTCCTAGATGCCTTTTGCATTACATGAACAATATGCCACATGCCATGGCTTCTGCTTTCTATCAGCTAATTTTCACTCATCAAGCAAGAATTTATTGCACAACCAGCTTGCACATATCACTAAACAACGGGACAACTGTCTTCAGTGCTTTTCGAGCACGTTAGAAGAAGCCATTTGATAAATTGCCTTTGACTCCAGGCATATGGAAAGAGGAACATGAGGATTACAGTAATCTTGTGTAGCTGTTCCAACTCACCAAATAGATTTTGATCTTAGCTTTTCCGTTACTTGTCATCTGGTTAATCAATAAAGCACAGCCAGATTATGTCATTTTAATCCCTTAGTAGATATTTTAGTGGTGATACTATAACATCCAAAAATTAAAAAAAAAGATTCTGTAGGAATTACCTTGCTCAAGGTACCATCAATTAAAGGACTTGAGGGGTTCTAACAGGGTCTCTGGTTGTGGAGTAAGTATAAGCGATCACTGAGCGCTGGCCATACCACATTCACTGTAGCCAGATGCACTGCTGCATTAAGCGTTTGCATATCAATTATAACAGTAAAGTAAAACAGAGAACCAAAGCCTTTTTGTTGCTGTTGTTCAGAAACCCCATCCATCTTCCTCAATGTGCTAACAACACTTGAGCTCATAGTTGCTTCCCATTTCAGATATCACCTTTCAGAGACATCATGACACATGGATCTGTTGGCTAACGACATTGGACTTTAGTAACGGCTTTGCTCATTTTTGAGGAGTAGAGTCCAAGGCAAATAGTCATTTAACTTCTCTCTCTTTCAGGAACTTCTGGGAGATTCCTGGAAGAATTACACGACTGTTCTTTTTACCCATGCAGAAAAACTCGAAGAGTCTGGGTTGAGTGAAGAGGAATATTTGCAAGAGGCTTCTGACACACTGTTAACCCTGCTAAATTCTGTTCAGCACAGATATATCTTCCTGTATGAAAGAGGAAACTTATGTAGTGAACAAAGAATTAAAATCTTAGAAAGAATCATGGAATTTATAAAAGAAAATCATTTTCAAGTTCTTAATTTTACATAAAATTTAACTGAAAAGGAAAGAGCACTGGGTATTAATCAGGGTCCGAAATCTGATTTTAAAACCTGCCTTTCTTCACATGCATATGGGGCATGAGAATTCCCTATTCAGCCATTGAGCCATTTTGGAAAAAAAATTGTAAATAAAAACTAATATCAAGGATTCAACATTTCTTGATATCAGAATTATACTCATAAGTATTTATCCAACAGAAAAGTGTACATTTGTGCATTTAGAAATATGCATATACAAGAATGCTCACCGTGCTACCATTCATCATAGTTAAAGACGGAAAACTATATAGATGTTCATTAATAGAATGATATTCAAATTGTGATATTAATCCACTGAGATATACAGTGTGAGAATAAACAAGCTCAATCACCTGTAATGGTAGTAATCAACCATCTAAGTACAACACCAAGAGAAAGAGAAAGAGGCCAGACATGAAATGTGCTCAATGACTCCATTTGTATGAAGGTCAGCAACAGTCAAAGACGAATGCAACCCAACTTCTCTGGTGCGAAGAAGTGCTGGGAATCAGCAAAGTAAAAGGATGCTGTGGGGGTAGCTGCAGAGATGTTGGTAATGCTATTGCTTGATTTAGAAGCTGCTTTCATTGGATGTGTACCTTGTGAAAGTGACAAAATTTCTTGTAATGTATGAACTCATAACTGCATTTGTGAGTATAATTGTTAATGAATAAACTTTCTTTCTTTATAAGAGATGTATGTCACTGCTTACTTGATGCAAGAGAAGGAAGATAGTGTAACCATGCCAGAGTATGTTTTCTCATGTACACTGTGTACACAATGTACACTTAAATGTGTTCTCCATAGTTAACTGCAATGATTAAGTGAATTGTCATGTGACAGAGACTCCAGGTTTGCTCTCTTTTCTGCTTTAGAGAGACCAGCTAACCCCATTTTGGTTTATAAATATTAAGGAAAACTCAGATCACATCCTTCAGTAAATCCCTACAATAGTTATCAGAGTAGGCTATACCTGCAGACTTGACTGCGAAGTGATGATTCTTACTTGTTCACATTGCTATGAGTACCAGAATGATTTGGCCACTTGAGAGAGCTCTTCAGGGTGGTTTTAATGGGATGGTGATAGTGAAAATAAAGCAATTGTAGTTATCAAGAGCTATGTCTATCACAAACATAGAATCATATCCCTTTCGCATGTGATCATATATGAATCTCCCCAGACACCCACTAACTCATAAACTCTTTTCATAAAGCTAATTCATGGTTTATTTTACTTTATTTTTCCTACTGTGAAAACCAGTAGTAATTTCCATTAGAAACTAGTGGGCTTCCTCCAAGGCAGTTCTCAAAGGACTACTGTTATCTGAACCATAGCACAGACAATATTTATTAAGTTAGTCATTAACTTCCTGTTTCTTAGGTAGACAGCTACAGGTGGACAGTGACAGAGACTCAGCCTTAATTCTCTCCCACCGTTTCATTATATTGCTGTCAACACCAGAAAGACTTAATCATAATGGATGCTTAATTGATACATAATATTTGTACTTCTCTATAGTGTATTGTGGTAATTCATTGCTTGTCATATAGTACGTAATGATCAAATCAGGATAATAAGTATTTGACTTCTTCAATTAGTTGTCATTTTTAAATGTTGGGAAGTCTGTACTTCTCTAGTCAGTATTAAAGACATCATAGACAAGCTAGGGATGCAACCCAGCTTGCACAAGGCCCTAGGTTCAATCTTGTTGAAGGCGAAACCAAAGCAACAAAGGATGGACGGGTCTTGGGAGGTGTGAGGTTAAAGTGGTAGGCATGCATTTCATATATGTGTGATACAGAAGAGCTTTAATAGAGAACAAAATATATGTCATAATTTACAATAGTTATACTGAACTGGGTGAGAAGCACCAGGGATCTCTCCAACTCCGTGATATGCTAACCTCTTTGATACATAGAAGTTCAAGTTTTCCGTGTTATTTCTCTTTTCTTAGAAGATTTCCTGCTATTATCAGGTTGATATTTCTAACATTTTCCTGCTTATTTTGTAGTTCAGTTATATGCATGCTTTCTGTCAAATAATATTGCTATTGAATTATCTCTTTTGTTAAAGCACATGGGTGCTTCTCCTCATTTGGCCTTTGTTATTTATTTTATGTGCCTGTTATTTCTTGCATTTCCCTGCTGTTTCTTCTAACTTTTCTAGTTTGATAATGTTAGTATTCAATCCTACTTTTCTCTTTAACTTTTTGGAAATTCTACTAGAATTCATATGCAGAATGAGGATAGTGTATGTTTTCTACTGTTGCTTGATAGCAAAGTTACAACTATTTATTCAACCAAGAAACATCTCACGGATAAGCCTTTCAACTGTGGAACTAAGACCTACAGAATTCTCTCATCTCTTCCTTCTTCTTTAATGTTTCTATCATTCTCCCCACAGAAAACATCTTAGGAATGGTTCTTTCCACCATATAGCTGTGTTTTGCAAGACAATTAGCCCAAGATTTCCTTTTATGGGCTGTCCCGTTTGTTTCAAGAGCCATTTCATACTACTTAAGCTGAACACCCCTCATAGTTTATCAATTATGTCATCTTAAAGATTATTTATCAGCATGCATAATATTAAAATTCATTACGCATTTTCAAATAAAACTTGTTTCTGATTTGACTCCTGCCTTTTGCCCTCCACTCCTGACCCCTCCTCAGTACTAGAAACTCTCTTCTTTACCATGCTTTCCCTTTGTCTTCATCGTCCTCAACATCTCAAGTGGATGTTTCCCCTTATATACCCTGCATTCTTGCATAGTCACTATTAAATTCCAACCATACCCTGGAACACAGTACTACGCAATGTTAGTATTGCATCTTCATAATAATCAGCATGATGAAGGGAGGTAAATACTGTGTCTGCTGGGTATGGGGAACGACTCACTGAAGTGAACTGTTGCTGCTATGCTTGAGTTGTGCACCTCTTTCGATGACAGTACCTATATTTATCCACAATCTTAGCCATTTTTTGGAGATAATTGTGACTCTCAAGAGACCTGTGTGAGCAAGATTAGCTCTGGGAAAAATAAATGGTATTCTGGAAGCTGTACTTTGGTGTCCTGTTGCCTTTCTATTAGAGTCTGTTATTTGCACTCTTTGCTTGTGTTCTTCAGATGTCTAATCTAGATGCTAGCTTCATCTGGATGACAAGAGAGTTCTGCTGAATTTTAGATTGGAAATTTCTTTGAACATTTCAAAGCTCATAGGATAATAATCTTGGTGGTTTTGAGCTCTTAGGATAGTATCCTTGTTGTTACTGAAAAGTTGGGGTCAGAGACACATTAGCATGTACTCTTTGGGGGACCTTAGTGATTACCCCCAAAACTCCCAGCTCTAATACTTAATTCTAGATATAAAGCCTCAACGAACATTTTCTGGCTCAATGCCTACTTTTAATTTTTTCCTTTTTTAATCTACTGTGGAAGCAAAAACCCCACAACTGCCCCCTCAAAGTGCATCCCTGATATTCTATAATGGAGCCTAATGTGAATGACCTTGGCCCGGGAGCAGATTTCATACCCTAAATGCCATGTTCCAAGGTGATAACAGTTCAATGACTTGTTTATGGTAACAGAATGAAGAGCATCATAAATCAAGGCACTTTCAGACACCATGGTGGAGGCAGTAGGCAGGTAAGTTACAGCAAAGCAGGCGGAACTCTTCTGTGAGCCTCAGATGCTACTGACAGCAATCTTTGCCCATTGGTTGAAAACTAGGACCATGTGTACTTTCCAATGGATTTACCTAATGGCCACAAAGATGTTAAGCCTGATTCTGAGGAGGAAAATAAATGGTTTCTAAAGCGGGATAAGGATGACCCAGTTTGACTTTGGACTTACAACATTCCAACCTCTTCACATCATTCAAATTCTCAGCAGTTAGTCAGCCTTGCGGAAGGCTCAGTGGAAGTCGAGGCTCATTTTAGAGACTTTCCTTCACACTGTTTCATTTTTTTTTTTAATATGTATATGGATGATTCTCCTACATGTATGTTCATGCACAACATCCATGCAGTGCCCTCAGAGGTCAGAAGAGGGTGTCGGATCCTCTGGGACTGGAGTTTCAGACACTTGTGAGCAGCCATGCATGTGCTGGATCCTGAACACAGGACCTCTGGTAGAACATCCCATGTTCTTAACCACTGAGCCATCTCTCCAGGCCCAGAGCATGTTATGGGTACTCTGCCTTTTATCTTAAAGTACTTCTTCCCTTTACCAGTTACTAGCTTTTAGATACGTCATATCTTGTCTTCAAAGGAAAAGAAAAATCTAAGATTTTCAAGCATTACTGTAAGAGGATAGACTAAAGATTGCAGAAAAGATGAAAATAAATTTATAAAGGAGAGGGGCCATACTAGGAAGTAATAGTTTCCCTCAGTGGAGAGAGAACCAGGAAGTAACCAAAGCCCCAGAAGACTCACCAGTCTCCATTACTCAGTTATAAATTAACCCTTTATACTTGTGCCCTCACTGGATGGGACAGCCTTCCTTTACCAGTATGTTAATAGGGATGCAGACTGCAGAAGGGCCTGGAAAACTGCAAAGAATCAGACCATCCCTGGCCTTCACAGAACTCCCACAGGAGAGCGGAGAGCATCAAGCAGGAAATTCCCCCATCTATTGTAGCACAAAGATACCTTGAACCACCTCTCCATTTTAAAATGGGAATTCCTTTTCTATGGGCCATATGGTCTCTATTCCTTTTTCTCAAATTAGGGCTGGAACAAAAGTATCTCCTGTAGCCATTGATCTCTACCTTCTGGTTTGTTGTGACAGGGGCAGCTGGTAGTAGGATAGCCAGGCACTGATAACAGTATTGCTATCTTTTAATTTGCTTTAAAAATAAGCTTCCTTTCACAAGCTTTGGATGTTTCTGTTTTTAATATATCTGCTATTTAAGGATATAATGTTATCTTTTCACATGAAAGATGAAGGTTATAGAAAGAAGTTATTTCAATCACAATTATTCTTTTTTTAACTTATTGAAAGTGGCTTTTAGTTTGCATTTTCCATTGGTCTTTAAAAGAGGAATTCAGGCATGGTGTTGATTTTGGATGACTCTTCTCTGCTCTTTCCAAATTTCCCAGGTGTGAAAATCTGAGAGGGTTTTAATGAACCAGGGTCAGCCAAATATGTAATCTTACGGCTAAAATTGTAAAGGGATGTATATATCAAAAGCATTTCTCTGTGGGGATGTATAATATTCTAATGAGGCAATTTACAAAAACAAATGTAACACTTTGTCCAGAGTGGCCTTTCCAGAGAGGCCCTGGAGGCAGATGAACAAACATTAACTGATATGTGGATAATTCTGTGGGCACTGTAGATCGAGAGCAAGGCTAGTCACCCCCTCATCAAAGAGGATTATTCATTTTCTCTGTGATTCCAGAGCCCCAGGGTTGTTTGTCTCTTGTTGCTAAGGACAATAGCTCACCAGATAGTAAATGATGATGATGAAGGCAAAAAAGAACACTTCACATGAGATCTGGAGAACTGGGAATAGAGCCTGTCAGGAGGAGGGTGGGGTAGAAGAGAAGGATGAAAGAACAAAATACAAACAAGGGATACATTAGAGTGAAAAATACAGTCTCCCTAATTAACTCACATTCTGAAAAAACCCAGATGGCTTGCTTTCAAATCAGTAATTATTTCATTGTTCCAAAT